ATGGCTTGGACCCGGCATGGTACTATTCCAGTCCCGGACTATCGTGGGATGCATTGTTGAAGAAGACCGGCGTACAACTAAAACTACACACAGATTACGATATGCACTTGTTTATTGAGAAAGGATTAAGAGGGGGGTATATCGATGGTAGCGAAAAAGGTATTCTAAGGCTAATAATAAATTAGTGGAAGGATATGATCCGAGTAAACCTGACACGCATATATTATATCTCGACGCTAACAATTTGTACGGATGGGCTATGAGTCAACCTTTACCCACGGGTGGTTTTGAGTGGGTCGATGATATCAATGTGGATGATATTGATGCGAATAAAGGGTACATACTAGAAGTTGACCTGGAATATCCAAATTCCTTACATAAAGCCCATAACAGTTATCCGCTAGCTCCTGAAAGATTAATGGTTAATAAAGATTGGAAGTCGGAATATCAACACTCCTTGATGGGCAATAGTAGGTTAGCTAACGTAGAAAAACTCGTACCAAATTTGATGGATAAGACAAAATATATAGTTCACTACAGAAATCTCCAGTTATATCTATCGTGAGGTATGAAACTTAAGAAAATACACAGAGTTCTAAAGTTTGATCAAAGCCCTTGGATGGAGCCCTATATATGGTTGAACACAGATTTAAGAAAGATAGCTACCAGCAATTTTGAAAAGAATCTATATAAGCTCATGAATAACTCAGTATTTGGTAAAACTATGGAGAATCTAAGGAAGCGTGTTGATGTTAAATTAGTCAGATCTAATGAGGAAGAAAGACTCAGGAAACTTATAGCCAGTCCGGCTTTTAACAGAAGCAAGATATTCGATAACGACTTAGCCGTGTTGCATATGCAGAAGAGTAATATAAAATTCAACAGACCGGTGTATGTCGGTATGAGTATTCTCGACTTGTCAAAACACTTAATGTATGACTTTTATAACAACGAACTAAGAAACAATACGGCGATAGATGCGAGGTGTTATATACCGCCACAGATTCTCTGTTGATGGAAATACAAACCGAGGATGTGTATAAAGATATGGCAGAAAAAATAGATATGTACGACACCAGCGATTACCCAAAAGATAACTGCACAGCGTAGTAAATAAAAAGGTGTTAGGTAAGATGAAGGATGAATGTGCTGGGACCCCTATAGCGGAGTATGTAGGATTAAGACCTAAGATGTATTCTATAAAGAAGTCCGATAATGGAGAGATAAGAAAAGCTAAGGGTGTTAAGAAGTATGTGGTAAAAAAGCATATCAAACACGAACAGTATAAAGAAGCATTATTCAATGGTAGAACGTTCAAACACGAGATGAACTCTTTAAGAAGTTACAATCATAGGATATATGGATTACGAATGAACAAGACATCATTATCCCCCTTAGATACAAAGAGATGGATTGATAATGATGGTGTAACTACCTATGCTTATGGTTATTTAGGGCGGTAATACCGTACCGTTGGGAACTATGAACAACTCTTCTCGTACAAATGCCCTACCTGGTCCATCTTGAAGATAATAAAGAATAGGCTCTCCTTCTTTCATAACCAATCGACTAATGTTATATGTCTTAAGAGACCATATGGGATCGGTTGCGCGACGTAGGCCTTCTTCAAGTTCACCTGCCTGGTATAAATATCTTACGCTTACTCTATCCGGAAGTTTTTGTTCTTTGCCTCTCCTCGGTGCTGAAGATTCGGAAGTCACGGATTTCATTTTAATCACATCGGATGGTTTCTTCCCTATTAATCTCGTTACTTCTTTATTCAGCGCTGATACAACAGCTGATAATCGTGTCACCCATTCGGTTGATCTCAATCGCTCGGATTTCATTTCGATCCCATACTGATAGCCAAACAAACATTCTGCTAATGTCCGGTTAAATCTTTCAACGATAGCTTGACTGCGGTGGGCCTCTCTTTCACCACGCCTGATTTCGACATCGTGCTTTGTCAACAGTTTAGTTATTGATCCCATAAACTTATATATGCGTTTATATATGCGGCTCAGTGCATTAGCTACTTCTGTTGAATCTTTCGAGGTTAATGGCTCAGCCTCTTTGTATCTACTAGCCACATCCACTACTGTTAAAGCGTATTTATACGTTTTGCGTCTTACCTTATCGTGGGGAAGAAACAAGAGGTCAGCCTGATGAACTTCATTCGTTGTAAAAATATCAAACTTCTTCCTCGGCATATAACGCGGTGCCGGTAAATATATTTGCCACATCGCTTGTTTCTTTAACCAATCCTTGGCCACATCTTTAGATACATTTGCCGCGGTGGCTAATTTTTTTATTGCTCCTACACCTTTCCAATATCCTCGTGGACTATAGTAAATTTTATTCATTATTAATTAATATTGATGTTTCTTTTAATATGACTCATGACTATCGTTGAATCATATCATCATTTACGCATAAAAAATGCCACCTGTAGTAGCAGTAAAGGTATATAAATCTGTCTCCAGTGGGGTTGCGGCAGAACCCCTATTACCTATACTACTAGACCACAAAACTAGCGAAAGAAAGAGTGAGAAAGAAAGCCTTAACCCTCTGGATGCCGAGTTTTTTTTCTGCCGCACATTTTCCTAAGATCGGAAAAGTGAAGGTTGTGCAAGAATTGCGCTCACGCGGCACAGGATATACCTCTGGCTATAAAATTACGCAGAGGTGGAGAATATTAAATTTCCTATTTGATGGTGTAACTTTAACTGCAAATATTAAACCGGTTTAAAAAAAAGACACTTCCGAGAAAACATTATATTTCTCCGCTTTTTATCGTACACCGATAAAAGTACTGTGCAACGATGTTTTTTTATTTAGAAGCTTTACAGAATCTGTGAGCGAACAAAATACTGCCTAATATCTGAACGACATAACTATATATCAAATGGAGTTATATGCGTATGTATAACGACATACATTCAATGCCAAAAATAGCATGCTGTAAATGCCAAAAATTGATTTTTCTCTATGACGTTAAAAGGCGACAGAGAGGTTACACACGTACAAAGAAAAGGGGGCATAACTCCGCTATGCTTAGCACTAGTTTATTATAACTCAGATCACTTGGTGAGAATTAGCTGTGTGTAAGGACAATATATTTTTGTGGTGTTTTGTTCACGAAGAACCAAACTATTCCAACATAAATATTGATATTGAAACTGTATACTTTTTGTTATAAAAAACCCCAGGAGAAATGATGAAATCGTACTTCATAAAAAAAGAGGTACTAGAGAAATGGATGGCCCTATCTAACCTATAACTTAGTCCTTAGATTCAAACTTTCTCCTGTATGTCTAAGTGTAATTTGACTAATGTTGCACCATTATTAATGGAGCACTAGTCTTATCATCAATAATGTCTTGAATATGTAAACAATTAGATAGTTTATCGTGTTTCAATTGGACAAGACACGCACCTGTTTGGCATCAATTTATGTAATGAAATACCCAAAAGAATATTTCAAAACAACCAAAATTATATTCAATATTGGACATATATTTGTTCATTATTATGTTATTATTTCCCTTCATCTCGTCTCAGAATTACACAGTAAAAGTCGCGAAGAAAGCTCTATTGATATAGAATTATCAGGATAATCGTATAAGATTGAACCAACAGCGTACATGGCATGGCCCGGTATTATTATTATAATTTTTACAATTCCTGGAGAAATAAAGTAAACGGTTTAATATACTGTGATCACAATATTGAAAAAAGAATGAACCCATTGATTATATAATGCAAAATGAGAGGAATAATTCGTAAATTGTTTGTGACTAACACGCACCTGGCGAATCGTTAGCTATCACTGTTCTGTGTATCAAACGACATAAAAAACAATTCCAAGACCAAGACAATTCTTTCAGAAATGTGTGCATATATTTTAATGAAAAAAATTATCCATTTTGTTCAAGTAATATATTCAGTTTTAGTTATAAAATAAAATGAAACGGCTATTCATGGACATTGATTATATGAACTTATAATATTGACTATGAACTTATAATATTGACTATTACACATCCCAAGATGCTGCAGTTACATTTACACTTCATCTTGTAACACTTGTCCAAAGGAAAGACATAGATCTATCGTATTTGACACTATAAACCTATCAATTGTTATGTAAACAATGTTCAAACAAACAGGAGATTATCAAAGGTTGGCTTATACATGTTGTGGCCTATATTTCCGTATGATATCATTTTGAACATTGACAAATATCCAAAGTGAAATTAACTGTGTGAAAAAAGATATAAAAGATATGCAAAATCTACATCATAAGTGAAACTGTAAACACCATGATACAATGATCGTGTGCACTCTCATTCAAGGACCTTCACCTCAAAGAAATTACCAAATATGTACAACAATGTTTACGTATGACATCACTACCGGTGACCCGACTTTTACAAAATGGCGTGTTCACTGTCAACAGTAAGCAGGATTTTACGAGGGGACTTTTGTTGATTCAGGGATCGTATATATATAAATGTGACATGTACGTAATCAGAAAAGGATAAATATCTTTGTCGTTGTGCGTTATTTTGCGTCAGTCATGGCGTCACATAGGACAGTAACTTTGACAATTTCTGTTGAAAATATGAAATCATTGCAATGTATCTATTTTAATTTACCTAATTCTTCCTACGATTCTCTTCCCATGCATATTCTGAAAATGAATGGATAGTTTGAAATAGGAGAAAATGCTACACTGTGTAAAATCTGAATAAGTATATAAATATACAATTTATTACAAAATGTCCAATGTTGTTCCTATATTACAAAACATTCTTTGTGCTACAGAGCCTTGAATTTTATAAATATTATATTAATGTTGTGTTAAATGATTCAGTTGAGGTGTACTTCTATTGCTTTCATGCTTGTTCTGTCAGACAATTTCAATATGATATCATATGCTACCCTCTGCAAATTGCTAATCTGATGCTCAAATGTTTGTGTGTATGTTGTTTTCATAGCTGGCAGCCAGTCATTGACTACATAGATACCAAGTATGAAGAGTACCTCAACGCTGAATCACGTGTGAACCGGACGTTAAGTTCTGACACTCGAGTCCATTGTTGTCTCTACTACATTGCACCTACAGGTCATGGGTAAGCATGCATGCCGTGTCATAGCATGTGGCACATAGATACAATCAGGGAGATAAGACATATTTGCCCAATTGTTTTTCTTAACCGCGTGATTATGACTTCCTATCTGGCATAATTCTTAAATACCCATGGGGATTTTTCTTTCATGATTACATGACATTGATTAATATTTGTTGTAGTTTGACTGTTAAATGTCAATAGAAAGTTTTCACTATCATGAGCAGGGGAGCATCGACAGTGATTGGTCAAATTGTTCCATACGAAAAAATATCCAATAATAGCGATCAGCTGTACCTAAGTGCTACGCTCATGGTTATTAATATATTTCAAATATATATAGAATCTGCAACTAAAATAGCATGATCTTTGAATAAATTATTCCTGATAAAATAATAGTTTTAGATACAAATCTTCTGATAATACTATCAAATTTTTGTAGTTATTTTATTGGGTAATTTTCAACCAGCTGATGGTTACTTCCGGCTTAGTTTACGAGACCATACACACGGTAATCTTAATCTCTACATAAAACAATGCTTAGAAGAACAGGAAATACAATTTCAGGGGTAGAAACTACCATATTTAGTTCACTAGTCCTTATAATGATAACATATAGCAAAACCCTTAAAAATGGTAAATTTCTACTAGTCTTTATGATACATGTACCTTAACTATTGGGCAGTTTGGCAAGGACTACAGGACTAGTGCTAATTTCTAACGCTGAATTTAATCTGTAAATCATCGTGTCTAGTGATGTTTAATCTCAAATATCAAATTTGTGTTGACCTAGTTTTATTGTTTTGATCTGTTTGTTTCCCTGAATTTCCCTGCTAAGATGTTATTTTTTTCTGCGGAAGATGAACACGTTTTTATTGCAAATGTAGGGCTTGTGTGGTTCATTCCAATTTGCTTTATAGACAGGGTATATAAATTAGCATCGATTTTGAAGGCTTATAGACGGCATATGATTATCTGGGATGGTACTTTGAGAAGATTCTTGACCTCCAATTGTCAAGGTCACCCAAACATTGTCAATAAATGTATTTACAGAATGCTACAGTTATGATAAATTTGTAGCACCAGGTATGCTTTCAAATTTTTATATTTTGGCATTTAATGACCGAGATTGAAGGGCATGGTCGTTAGATCAGAATTGCTTTTATCTTCAGTTTTAGGGCAGTTAACTCTTTGAACGTTAAACCACATTGAGTTTGTTTCCAAACTGGGACATGATGTCATTTAACTGGATCTGGTTGTTTCTTTGTTAAGGTAGTTTGAGGTATAGGACAGCCTGTTTCAGTCAAGTTGTACTTCATTGGGCAAGTTTCTTTTCTAAGTCTGAAAGTAATGTCACTAGGTTTTCCTTGAAATTGCCCTGAATACACTACAATTTGAGGATAAGATGAGCAAAGATCTTACTCCTCGCCCAGTTTGTCAGGAGTGCAGTATGAATCTTTCTGCCTCTGACCCCATGAGACTTGCTGTGACTGCCAGGGACGATGCAGTCTTTCCAAGTTGTGTTCTGAGTGTGATTACATGATGGAGGTTCAAAGTGGATCATCACACCTACACCTCGTCGTCTGGGAGTTTTGAAATCACCTATCCTGTTATGTTTCTACATTGGATCAAGGCAACTATGCTTGTAGTAAGAGGCGACTAACAGGATCGGGTGGTCAGACTCGCTGACTTGGTTCATGCATGTCATCGATCCCAATTGCATGAATCGATGCTCATGATATCAATCACTGTTTTGTGTGGTCCAGACATGATTATTTACAGATATATGGCTGGAATATTGCCGAATGTGGCGTTAAACAACAAAACAACAGACAACTACATTGGATCGATGATAAACTTCAGCTAAAGCGCACTAAATCTGCTGAGGATCGTCTGTCAGCCTTCACTGTTCCCTCAACTGTTTCCCCCAATTATTTTGCTCCCTCCTAGGCCGATTTTGTTTGAGATTGCCACTAACCTTGATTAGACTTCGGGGACATTTAGAACCTTGCGATAGACTACAGACTTCTAGTCGAAGTCTCCAGCACTCATGGAATGTGTAAACGCTTGGTGATACCGAATTTTGATGGTATTATTCTGACCATGTTTTCTCCACCTGATGTCCACTATTTTCATGGCGGTGAACACAAATACAATTTCCTTATTCCATGCCAAGTCTACAGAAGAGTCCTTGATACGTGTTTTGGTTTTGAGGCTCATTTGTACCATCTTCCAAGGTCAACTCAACTCAATGGAATACACACCATAGAGTCCCAGCTTACCCATCTTAAGCTGTCAGTCGATCTCCTGCGTCTACAGTTGTAACACTTGGAAGACTAACAACTGCCAAACCCTGATCTCCCTTCTGCTTCCTCTGCGTCTGCATCTTTAGTTATGGCTGGTAACATTGAATGAACCTCCTTGTCGAAGCGTTGTACATGGGCTGGAGAGTGCACTTCCACGATCTTTAGGTAGCAAGGTGTTGAGAGAAGTACCTTCACATCAACAACCACGAGTTCAAGAAGGTCATCCTAGCAGTATCCCATTGATCAGAGCTCCTTCCTTCTTCATGCCTCATGATCCAGTCGGTCAATCTCAGTCCACTTGTACATAAACAAGCTGGCTTCCACAAGGTTAATGACACTCCTGTTGAATTCAATTGATATCTTCTGTGTGATCAACTCCCTCAACACTCAGGTTCAATCAGGGCACAACGTGATTGCAACTCCCTGTCCTGACAGACAAACTGTTCCTCTGCAATCAAATCTTTTGGTGCACTTCCTTTAAGAACTAGTGCAATATGATGCAAAATATGATTTTTTTTAAACTTATCCTGCTTTACTCCTAAATGTATTTACTGCTTACTTTTGACAGAAAACAAAGCTGTGATGGTTCCACCTGATGAGAAAAAGTTGTTCCACTTACAGAGGCAGGGCCCCAATCACCAGCTGCCACGTCATACCAGAAGTGGTGACGTCATGGAACACTATCACTGTCACCGGACAGACAAGTTGTACTTCTAAGTTGGTCCCCAGTTTATTGCTGTTTTTCTCTGTGCCTGTGGTCTTTATGTTTGCATTTAACCAAGTTTATTCCTACCTGTGACGGGTGGTCTCTTGGTTTGACGTTGTTTACATGAAATAATATTTATATTGGCATGTGAAGGTGACAGTTTGTCCCAGATTTTGTTGTTGTTCCTTTCCGTCATCTTGTATTTGCTAACATGTCACGGTTTCATGACACATGTTCTGTATTTCAGTGTCAGCTAAGTATTAACTTAGTGTGTAAGTACCCTTAGCCGTCTTTTGGTGTTTATAGTGTAATACACATCTTATGATACGTTATGTATCCATTATCGTCCATTTGAACCATGTCTGTTCTCTATAATTGGGTATCTTACTCTAAGCAACTTCTGCACAAATTGTTTCAATTTATATTAGTTGCTTGCACTCTGAGCCGTTTGTTCAGTCACTATAGTGTGATACCTTGTCTATATTATAACGTCAATCCATTATTTTGAATTAAACTTTGTTTGTTCTCTAAAATTGGGTGATCAGTCTATTTACAACTTCAACTTTGATTGGTTTGCAATTTATGCTTGCTCGTTGTCCTAATTGCTGGGGTAAAAAATCTACCAAAGAGCCTCTCCCACAGTGTTTAAATGGTACTCAACTCTGTACTTTGGGACTCAAGTGTAACTGTGTTCACTGCTTTCCTCTGCAAGCTTTAACAGGTATCAGCAGGTATCGTCCAAGTGCCTGGCTCAGCAATCTCTGCAGTGCTCCAAGAGTATGTCAGACTCCCAAGAGTCCACGTTGCAGTTATGTCTTCAGCAGCACCTATTTATGAACCTTAGGGCGCCTCTACAGGCATCTCTACCTGCCGCTGTCACCGGGTACATCGTCGATGTTTGCACCTCAGGGCAAGTCTACGCTGCTTGCACCCCCAGGCACTTCGACTGTGCCTGTGTTAAACCTTTGTCGGCGTTAGCCTCATCATATTGAGCCATGGATCAAGATCTTACTGAGACCAATACCAAGAGGATTGATCACTTCCAGACGGTCGTGGATTTTCAAGAGAAGCAGATTGACCGGGTACTGCCTCAACCTGTTGGCAGATCCAGGGGCAGCATCAATGCTTATTTATAACGCCCTGATCAGCCTCCACTTGCAGGATGCTTATCTGTATGATCCTATTCACCCCAGCGACCTGCAGTTCCTCAGGTTCCACTTCAGTGGGCGGTCCTACCGTTTGGCATTTCAGTGACCCCGTGGCTTTTTACTTGCCTTACCAAGAGAATGGCCACCTCTCTGCACCTGAAAAACATCCGGTGTCATAAAAAAAACAACTGCATACTGAATCATCCAGATGCGATATCCTAACCCGTCACCAGGCACCTAATTCCATCCTACCAGCTCCAGTTCATAGGAGGCCTTTTCCAAACAGATCTGGACCTCTAACAGTGCCAAGGGACAGATGGGTCAAGGTCCTATGCCATCTGTTTAATGCCCTTCAGCAGCCCATAACACTTCACCAATGGCAAGTGCTCCTGGGACCAGACAACGATCCACTACCTCAGCCAGGATGGCCCAACTTACTTGTGCACCCACACAGCAGGCGACCACACTCCACACCAGGCAGGTTTCATCTGCACGCCTAGTTTATCTACGAAGAGCCCTTGGCAATAAAGGTTATTCAGCATGAGCAGCTAAGGCCATTGCTATGGCACATAGACCCTCAACTTGAGTCCTTTATGATCATAAGTGGGAACCTCTTGTGAGGATAGGGCTCAGGACCCCACAGCAGCCTCGCCTCATTTCCTGGCAAAGTATTCCCTACACATTGGTACCAAACAACACTTGATGGGTAGCCCCACTACTTAAATTTAGTGTTTGCAGTTACGGAAGACCTCAATATGACCTAGATACCAGAACTGCAAACTTTATTACACTCCTTTCAGCTTGAGGATCAGAAAGCCAAATTTTGGATTTGAATGTGTTACTTTGATGTTTGCATGCTCCTCCGTTTGAGCCTCTTCACACAACATCATTCTTTAACCTCACCAAGAAGACAATATTTCTCTTTGCACTAGCCACAGCGGCGAGTGTTGGCAAGCTCCCAACATCAGTCGGGTATGCTTTGATAGCAATCTAATCTTGAACCAATGAGAGCTAATAACCCCCATGAGATTCGGGCGGTTGCTCTTCACAGTAATTGGTCTATTAGAGCCATCATGGAAGGGTGTTTTTTGAGTACTTGGTCTTCGACAGCCACAACCTGAGGGTTGTGGCCTTAGAAGACGTTGAGAGCATTCGCAGTTTGGGTCCTCTGGTTGTATCCCAGTAGGTGACTAATCTGCAAAGCCATAAATACAAATAATCATGTCCAGAGCCAGCCTTACCAGACCTGTGTAGCAATACACTCGCTTGATAGCAGGGTTTTCTCGCTGTTCCGCAGTTATAGCTTTGTAATCCAAGTCTCTGCATGCTATTGTCTCTTACTGTTCTTACTGTTACTCATACTCTTGTAACCTTTCCGCAGACAGGACTGGCTGATCAGTTACCGACCTGTACAGAAGAGTGCATTAAGGAGTGATGCAGGATAAGTTAAAAAATCTAGTAAAATCTAGATTTTTTTATATTTGTAAACTTGTCCTGCATTACTAACATCTAAGGGTCCACCTGTCGCAGACCTGTCTCCCTGCGATATCTTCAGTAACATTATGTGTAACCAAAACAGTAATATGAAGTTCCGTATATGTTCCTGTATGATGTGGCAGCTGGTGATTGGAGCCCTGCTTCTACAAGTAGAACAAGTTTTTCTCATCAGCTGGACCCATCACAGCTTCATTTTCTGTCAGAAGTAAGGAATAATGCAGGATAAGTATACAAATATAAAAACATATCTAGAATTTACTTGTATTTTCATCAAAACCATATTGTCAGACATGCAAAGGAGTAATAACTTTTAGCTCTTCTGACTGAAAGTCAAACGAGCATATGTCATGGCATGTTTGTCTGGTGTCTGGATTATGTCGTGTTGGAAACATTTTCTCTGATCCAATGAAACGGAAACTTCACGTTCTTGTTGCCACCAATGATGACACCTAAATCAAGAGGTTCAGATCTGGCCACAAGTTTATGATTCTTCTGTCATAACTGAAATAGATGCTGTATATTTTCGGTAATGCATTTATGTAGATGATGATATATTTCATGTTCTTTTTTTAAAATATGTGTGCCAACATGTCTCTATCACATGGATCCACTGTAAATATCTTTCAGGAAGTTACTGTTGTATTCATAAGGAAATGATTTCATTGAAAATATTTTTATCATTGAAATAAGTAACATTTAGCTGTCAGAAATAATTGTAATATGACATATTTATTGCTCAGCAAACATTTTGAATAAGTTGCATCCTAATCAACCAATTAACTGTTTGTGGAGTTGTGTAAATTAAACTGAAGGTTGATATTGTGTTGTCAGGTTGAAGCCTCTTGATGTGGAGTTCATGAAGCGGCTCCATGATAAAGTAAACATCATCCCCCTCATAGCAAAGGCAGACACACTGACACCAGATGAATGTAGAGAATTTAAGAAAACCGTAAGTATAGACATAATAATGTTAAGGCAAACAGTTTGTCTGTTTCTATTAATTTTTCTAACATGGTTATGTTTGCTCACTTAAACTTGGGTAATAGCTTATATACTGAACCTAAAAAATTAACATCACATGGACAGACATATGAGAAAACTTATTTGTCCAAACACTGTAAACATACTTTAAGACATATTTAAAAGATTAACATTGGCAAAACTGACCATCAAGGTTGAAATGAAAGTGTCAAATGTTCTTAAAGTGAAACACAACACTAGTCTCTGAGAAAATGGCATCACAAGTCAGTATCTTGTGTGTCCGCCATGTGCATTGATGACTGCCGCACAACGTTGATACATGGAATGGATGAGGTCGTTGAATAAGGTCATAGGCACTTGAACCCACACTCTGAGGAACGCCTGACGCAGTTCAGCTGCAGTTGTCGGCCTTGGTCGGATGTCATTCAGCCGTCTTTGAATCTCGTCCCACAGGTGGTCAATGGGATTTAAATTGGGACTAAGGGCAGGCCACTGCATGGTTCTGATGCTATTCTGCTGGAGGAAGTCTCTTGTTGCTCTCGCAGTGGGGGCACGGGCATTATCATGCTGAAACTCGTGGCTGCGGCAACGTGCCAAATGAGATACAGTGATCGCTCGCTATTGCGCTACCAATGGGGTCCAAATAATTGGTGGGCGTTATAGACGATGAGCCGTTTACCCGAGGCCGAGGCGGGGGAGCGCGCTCGGCAAATCTCAAATCATCAATAGGCCTATGTGTTTATCTCACGTCACGTCAAAATAGTATATATTTTTATGGACCTAGATCTACCTGTAATATCATTCATTTATTAAATCTGTCATATTTCACAATGTCTGAAATACGTATTCCATTCTAATTTATCATTTTTTATCAATAAATTAAAAAATTATTCACTATTTCCCGCGATGTTATTGAAAATAAAATTCTCGGACACACATTTCGACAACGGGTCCGCATCGAACATGTCAAAGAGCAAAATAAAGACTATTTTAAGCAAATCTTTAAATATATTATACAAAGTGATAAATAAAATCAACAAAAATATATCTAAAAGTAGTCAAACTTACATCTAAGTTATTATTTCCATCGTTTCGTGCGATCGCGTGTAATGTAAGTCAAATGACATCTCGGCTTTCGTCGCCTTGAATTCTCGGCTCGGACACAACGTTTAATGCAAAAATATATGCATGAAAAATCTTTGTCACAGCTCGTAACCTAGCACGATACATTCGCGAAGTTCCATATTTTTAATATATATCGTGATTTCCTGCTTAAAACGTTCAGAATAACACGATTTAACAAACAATCTTTCGCTAACTTCTGAAATTTATCAAACACGAGCTTTGTATCACAGCTTGATTGGCTGCCTGAGGTCACGTGCTCAAAATTGACCAATCACGAAACTTGTAGCAGATTTCGGCAAGAAAGCGTCATTAGAAACAAATTTTAATCCAATGAAATCGCTTGTTATAACTACGGGGAAAAAACAGCCGATGTTACGAAAGCGCGATTACGAAATGAATGACCACCGTGTTGTGACAGCAACTACATGTGTGTGACAGTTTAGCCTTAAATTGGATTGCCCACTAATTAAGAATATAAACTTCACTTGTGGTTCTCTTTTATTGCATGCATGCGCTTCTAAGATCAAAGGATGTATAGTGTGAAAAGTTAACTAGTAGAACAATCGTATTTCCGGGACCTGCCGCGGATGTTTTCAAACAGATTATTAGAACTCCATTCAGCGATAAACCGTTGATTATGCAATGAGAAGCGTTATGTGCAAATAAACAACGAACAACAATACAATCATGTCTGTGTAAAACTCTCAGTATTAAAAGTGTACATAAATTTTGGGAGCCATGCGTTACCGCGCGTAATAACCGAAGTAGCGCTTTATCGAAGAGCGCAATAGCGAGCGATCACTGTATGGCATGTGGTCTCAAGACTTGATCAATGTACTGAGCTGCTGTGACACCATTGCCTCCCCCTGGACCACCCCACGACTCTCTCTCAACAACACAAGCTTCCGAATAACGTTCCCCACGGCATCTCCAGACTCTCTCTCTGCCATCTGCTGTTGAGATGCAGTAACGTCCCTCGTCTTGAGAAGAGACTCTTCTCCACTGCTGGTGGCACCATGGTCTGTTGAGCAGTTTCCGCAGCAGTAACAAAGCAATCTTGAAGATGCTGTCGCACAATCTGATGATTCTGACGTCGGGTGGTGACCCTTGGTCTTCCACTACGTCGTTGGTCATCTGTAGTGTTGGTGGTCTCGTACCGTTGCTGGAGCCTGTATGTGGTCCTTATGTCGACTTGAAATGCATTGGCTACTTACCAGGTAGTGTGTCCAGCTTGCAATTGTCCAAGGGCTTGGTGTCGCTGATTTCTTGTCAAACTTGGCATGTGATAGCAAATCAATAACGAATGAATGTTATCCAATTATCCAATCTGGGTGGATTTTTTTATAGGGCAAGAAATGCATGTGCATTTCAATTTGCACGGACCTTACGTGCATCGGGTTACCATGGCCGTTGCCGTGATGCATTTGGGCGATCGGCTCTATTGTCATCTGCTTTGGGTTTTTTATCATCAAATTTCATTTTTCCGCACAAGGTAATATTAAATTTTGGAAACTTTGACAAAAATTACCCAGATATTTAGATGGCAACTTTTCCTGCAATGTTACTTGGGGTGACGTTTCTTTTGCGGTTCAGTATATTATGCATTTTCTTGTAACTATTGCTCTGATGTCTTTAATATGGTGAGATGAGGTACAATAAATAAATCGGTTGTAACAGATGTATAGTGTCTGTGTTACAACCTGTAAAAACTTTAATGTGAGTGAAAAAAACTTTTGGATCAAAGTACTCTTTTGTTGTATAATGCTTAAAATGATAATATGTGTATCGGATTTTCAGCAGTTACAGCAGTCATGTGAAATTATTGCGATTCTGTTTTGAATATCAGTTGTCTCAGATATGTTTTGCCAATTCCCAAGAGAAAAAATATCATAATATTCATAGAAAGTATTGAAATGGCCAAGTGAAAGTGCTGAAATCACACGCTCATTAATTGGATTCCAAAACAATATTATTTCGGGGCATGGCCTAAAGCTACTGGCGCAACTATGCGTGACAAATGTTTTCATTGGTTGATATGTTGCCTGGCTTGGCAGCTATATGGTTGGTTAGTTGGTTTGTTGTTTAACGCCGCTCTCAGCAATATTCCGGCTATATGACGGCAGTCTGTAAATAATTGAGTCTGGACCAGACAATCCAGTGATTGATATCATGAGCATCGATCCACGCAATTAGGACCGATGACCTGCATCAAACTAAGTCAGCGAGCCTGACCACCCGATCCTGTTAGTCGCCTTTTACGACAAGCATAGTCACCTTTGACGGAAAGCATGGGTTGCTGAAGACCTATACTACACCGGAGTCTTCACGGGTCGGCATCTATATGGATACGTCAGGAAGGATTTCATCAAAATTTGCTGCTATTTCTGTTAATCCTACAAAAATAACATTGGATATTTTGCTCAATGTGTGAGACCTTGACATTGTAAATAATTAAAATAACAAATATCGCTTCAAGTAGCAATGGCTTGCTACAAGTGGCATGCACGCATAAAAATATGCAAAAATATTCGTCCATATTCGATCAAATGGTGTGCTTGAACTAACGCCATTAAAAGTAAGGCACCGCTAGTGGCATATCACTGGTGGTTGCAGAATGTCTCAGGGTGTTCTAAACCCATTTCAGACCTCCACCATGTTTGAATCCTTAACTTGCACCAAAGCTGTCAAACGTTAGGCACAACTTGTGGGACATCGCTGCTATGAAAGTGGCGGTGCCTGAATGTCCCAGAGTGTTCTTAACCTATTTCTGACCTCGTCCATATTTGAATACTTAAATGGATTGCTTGTACCAAAGCCATCAAAAGTAAAGTCAAATCTTGCCACTATGAAATTGGCATGTATCTGAGGGTCCCAGGGTGTTCTAAACCCATCTTCGACCTCGTCCATATTCAAATGAACAAAGGGTTTGCTTGTACCAATGCCTTCAAAAGTAACATCGCTGCTGCAAAATTTTGTGTGCTGGGATGTCCAAGATGTTGTAAACCCTTTCCGATCACGTCCATATTCAAATCCTCAAGTTGATTGTTTGTACCAATGCCTTCAAAAGTAAGGCACCGCTTTTAAGACATCACCACTACGAAATTTGTTGTGTGCAGGGGTGTCCATCCGATTTCTTAACATATTTCCGACCTCAACCATGTTCGAATCCTCAAAAAGTTTGCTTGTACCAGCGCCGTCAAAAGTAAGGCACCGTAGCAATTGGCAGTTGGGAAATGAAGACATGCATCAACCAAGTAAGCAAGCCTGAACAACAAATTCCGTTAGTCGCCTTTTACGACAATCATAGTCGCCAGCTCAGACAAGCATGGGTTACTGAAGACCAATTCTTACCTTGACCTTTGGGTTAGAATAGCTCTTCAGCAACTCATGCTTGTTGTAAGAGGTGACTAACAGGATCGGTAGGTCAGTGTAGCTGACTTGGTTGATGCATGTCTTCATTTCCCAATTGTGAAGATCTATGCTAATGATGTCAGTCACTTGATTGTCTGGATTGAGATGCACCCCTTAATCCTCTATTGTCTTACCCATCAACACACTCGGGTGAACGTGTACCCATATCAATAGGTGCTGGACAAGTGGGAAGACCCCTAATAAACCACCTGACAGACTGGGTGCTGGGCCCGATCGTTGTAATTTGCTTCAAACACCGGTAACCTGTTTTAACTTCAGTGTGGAATTTTTTGTTTGAGGGACAATTTTGTCTTTTTTATTGCCCATTTCAAATTCATTTTGGTCAACCATTTGTGATTAGGTATCCTGTAATTACATTAAGTAATACGTTACCACTGTTATACCAAGGCTGTTGTCTCCCACAACTACTGC